TGCTTACTTCCGGGGCAACCATTTAAGGATCACATCTTTGAGTTCTGCAAACCTGAGTAAGGACAAGTCAATTCACCTGGTTTCTCTGGGTTGCTGAAGCTTCTAGAAGGATCTCCCCCTCCCCTAACCACCACCCAACTTTATTTAAACACTGTGGCTTACGAAGCTGTTCATGATGATTTGTTACAGGCATTCAATATCCCACCACCACTCCTGTGATCTTCCCTCCACCATTGTCTAGGCAGAAACTTACCTTCACTCCCTCAGTGATTTCTGGGCTTGACAACCTTAGGGACACACTGGACTCACCCAAGGAGATGACTTTTTAGCTTGGCTTCCAGGCTCCACATTTGGTTCGTTACTATAACATGTCAATACTACGATATTAAGCCACATGCAAGCGTGAGCCATGAGTGAAACACATAGCATAATGAAAGAAAGAAAAAGCCCGTCCTGAGCTCCAGGCATCAGAACTTCCAAGGACAATTCAGGAGTTTCCTCTCTGCAGCCAGCACTATCCAGGTCATTCTACCTGTCCCCACTGTCCCTGCTAGCAGAAGGCGCGGGAACTGGTTCTTTCTGTTTGCTCTGAGATGAATATGGGAAATGCCTACCATTCTGGTCTGTATTCTAGAAGCTCCTTATTGTCATAAAATAAAAGACAAAAATGAGGACCGGAGTGAGATTCCAGCGGGTGGGGTGTTTGTCTTGCGTGCGGTTGACCTGGGTTTGATCCCCAGCTTTCCAGATGGTTCTAAGCCCACTGGGAGCGATCACAGTGTGCACAGCCAGGAGTAAGCCCTGAGCACCACCAGGTATAGGAAACCCCTACCCCCTCCTCCCCCCAGCAATAAAAGAAGAGCCCCCACACCCTTTGCTACATCTTCCTGGGTATAGCACAATGTCTTGACCCAGCAGTACAGAGACCGCAGAGCCGGGCCTACTCCTCATCTACACTTGGACATGACTTCCCTAAGAGGCCATTTCACAGCTGCCTTCTGCCGATCACCTAGACTCTGCCTTGGATTTCTCTGGAATTAGAAACAGTTTTGCCTCAGAAATTCCAAATCCTGATGGCAGGACACCTTTGTGTTCAGGACAAGACCTGACAACTCCTCTTGAAATTCCAGGCGCTTCCCACATGGCTCCTGCCCCTTCCCTGGGCACCCCCAGTCAGCCCCCACACAGGCGACTGAGCATCCTGCTATAAGCACTTCCTTCTCAGATTTCTGGGGGCTGGCTCTGTGCTCAGGGATCACTCTGGGCAATGCTCAGAGGACCTTATGTAGTGCTGGGGATAAACCAGAGTCACCCACGTGCAAGGTAAGTGCCTTGGACTATCTACAGCTCCCAGCCTTCTGTTTTTTGTTTGTTTTTGGTTTTGGCATTGCTCAGAGATAACACCTGGCTCTGTGCTCACTCCTGGCAATGCTTGGAGGAACATATGAGGTGCTGGGGATCAAACTCGGGTCAGCAGCTTACAAGGCGATCATTCTGTCCTCTTCTCTGAAAGATGCCTCTGGTCCACATGTGCTGGTTGATCCCAGACAGGCCTTCATGGACCACACAGGATGCTGGACAGGTGGACCAGGACTGCAGCCTCTGTTTGCCTCGGGGCTCCTGGCAGAGCCTGTGAACTCATTAGTGCCTGCTGCCCACTCAGATATTGTGAGGTGCGGTAGAAGCGGTCCTTGGATCCCAAATCTGCTTGGGGAATTCTGCTTATGGGCTGTCCCTGGGGTGATAGTGAGGAACACAGAGGGTGGAGATGAATGGAGAATGGAGAGTCTGTAGGAATTCCAGGAGGGAGGAGGCTTCCATCAATTCATGTAGGGTTTTTTTTTTTCTTTTTTGCTTTTTGAGTCACACCCAGCAATGCACAGGGGTTACTCCTGGCTCATGCACTCAGGAATTACTCCTGACGGTGCTCAGGGGACCATATGGGATGCTGGGAATTGAACTTGGATTGGACGAGTGCAAGGCAAACGCCCTACCTGCTGCTATTGCTCTGCTCCAGCCCCGATTCATGTAGTTTTATGGCTTTGTTGTGTACCTGTTCTGTTTGTAGCATGGGATATATATTAAGAATATGAAGAATCTAGTTCTGGTTTTTGTTTTTGCTTTTGGGCCACACCTGGCAATGCTCAGGGCTTGCTCTTGGGACTGCATCCAGGGATCACTCCTGGCAGCATTCAGGGGACTATATGGGATTCCAGGGATCCAACCCAGGTCAGCCACCTGCAAGACAAGTCCCCGCCCCATTATACTATGTCTTGGGCCCTTGACTCTACTTCTAGATTTCAAAAGATTGGGAGCCCAAGGGGAAGCTAGCAGGTGAGCACAGAGGGGAGCTAGTTACTACTAGTCTTTCACTATTTGGTTCAGTTCTTTCAGCCTCATGTTTGACAACTGTTTGCTGAAAATATAGGTAAAGGTAAGGTAAAGGCCCTCCTGTTGATCTTCGATTTGCTCAAGTGGGCCCAGAAACGTCTCCATTGGAGACTTTGTTGTTACTGTGTTTGGCATATGGAATACTCTCGGTAGCTTGCCAGACTCTCCGAGAAAATATAGGATGCACTTTTTGGGGCTTTTGTTTGTTTGTGTCCTTCCCGTGGTGCCAAGGACCATTCGGGTTATCCCCTCCAGTTTTCAGGAGGTCAGGCAGTGTTAGGGCCCTCAGGGCCCTGGTGCATGCCAGGCATGTGCTCCAGCTCTCTGAACTCTCTTCCCAGAACAAAATGTTACAAGGTTGCTTTTTTTTGGGAGGGGGAGAGTGGAGTGTGGAGGGGGTTTTCTACCTGGAGGTGCTCAGGAGTTACTCCTGGCCCTATGTCTGGTGTGCCTAGAGGACCAAGTGGGACGCCAAGGTTTGAACCCACGTGAAGGCGAGCACCCTACCTGCTGTACTACCTCTCCAGCCCCTGTTGCAGGTTTTTAAAAGCTAAAATTATTTTAGATTTTGGGTTTACTGGGCAGGAAGTGTTCCACAGCTGTCCCAGTTATAAGGGTGAATCATTGTCCTAGGGTGGGTAGGGAGAGTCTTGCAGACCTGAGCTCTCATCTTAGTGTGTGTGTGTGTGTGTGTGTGTGTGTGTGTGTGTATGTGTGTATCTGACCCAGGTCTCGTGTTCAGGGAACATGTTTTGCCATCAGGTTACAACTGTAAGCTTCCTCCAACTTAGTCTGCTCAGTTACAATAAAGAGTGAATGGTAAGTACTTCGGAAAACTGCTGAGAGGTCTTAGCATAAGTGGTAAAGGTGAGTAGATGGGAGTAGATGGGAGGCAGAATACTAACCCAGGTCTCCTGGCTGACTGTGTGCTCCATCCACCTCTTCAGCTCCTCGTATTGGTAGGGGCTAACGCTCACCCACAGTCAGACACTAGGTGCCAGGGTTTGAGAGAAGTTCGATGAGTTTTGCCCTCGGATCCCAATCTGATTCTGTAGGTCACACTCTTTTTTTTTTTCCTTTTTTTGCTTTTTGAGTCACACCCGGCGTTGCACAGGGGTTACTCTTGGCTCTGCACTCAGGAATTACTCCTGAGTGATTGTGTGAATGTGTGTGAGTGTGTGTCCAGCAGAGTTCATCAACACATGGGACCATATGGGAAGCTGGGAATTGAACCCCGGTCGGCTGCGTGCAAGGCAAATGCCCTACCTGCTGTGCTATCGCTCTAGCCCCTGTAAGGTCACACTCTTAGAACAGTCTTCTCCCTTTTTTTGCACTTGAATTTTATTTGTGTAGTGCAGGAACACATAAGGGCTGGAGCGAGGGTAGGGCGTTTGCCCTGCACGTGGCCAGCCGGCTGACCAGGATTCAATTCTTCCACTCTTCTCGGAGAGCCCAGCAAGCTATCGAGAGTATCGCCCACACCGCAGAGCCTGGCAAGCTACCAGTGGTGTATTTGATATGCCAAACACAGTAACAAGTCTCACAATGGAGACATTACTGGTGCCCGCTGGAGCAAATTGAGGAACAACAGGAGGACAGTGCTACAATGAGACAGTGCAGGAACACATGTAAATCTTAAAAGAAAGAACCCCAGGTTTTATTCCTCCTGAGGTAAAAGAGAGTCCCTGCCTTTCCCTTTCCTTAGACCATTTGCCCTAGGAAATATGCGCTGGTAGCATCTTTGATTAAGGCAGATGTATGTAAATATTTTTTTAAAAATAGAGCAGACCTTTTGCCATTCTTGGCACCCAGGAATGTTATTTTCCTCAAGGAACTGGGGGCCCCATTTTTTTTTTGGAGACGTTATCACTTGGGATTTGCTGTTTCTGTTGCTGTTTCTATTCTTTTCCTGGCTGGGTGAAACCAAACCGAAGCAGGGAGCTATCCACTCAACTCGCAAACTCACCTCCTGAGGCAACAACATAAACATTTTATTTCTCCTTTTCACAAAAAACACGAAGCTGACGCAAATGGTCACTCGGAGGATCCATTAAGTGAATTGACGATGAACTCTGCTCGACAAAGAGCGCCTCCCAGGCCTGTCCCGTGGGAAAACGGATGTGAAGGCGGCATCTGCGGGCTGCGACGTCTTGCTGTTTTAGTAATCTCTCCAGCGCAGAGCCTGGGATGCGCATCACATCCGATTCTATTATTATTCAATACTGAATCCGCTTTTCTTTTATTCCTGCGGAAGGCTGGGGCTGGGGAAGGTTTATTTATTTATTTTTTATAACCTAAGGGTAGAAACCTGCCTGCTGGGATGCCAAAAACTACGTCGCCACCAGGCATTTGCAGCAAGCGCTGTCTGCGCAACTCCCTGCTGCAGCAGGAGTCCCTGGACGCGGGTGACAGCTGGGTACCGCATGCCTATTTTTAGCTACGGCAGCCGGCCCGACTGCATGACGAAAAGGTGGGCGGGCCTGTGAGGCCACGCCCAAGCACGGCAAAACCCGCCCACTCCCAGGACGCCCCGCCCACCGTGCCATCCAGCCCAAAGCCCCCGCCCATTGCCCCGCCCACTACCGACTCTCCCCGCCCATTGCCCCGCCCACCCGCCTCCGCGCGCCCACGCCGCACCTTGCGGGAGCAGCGGGAACGCTGAGCTGTGGCCGCGAGCGGGTACCCGGAGGCCCGCGGCGATGAAGATCTGGAGCTCGGAGCACGTGTTCGGGTGAGGCCGAGCTGCAGGCCGCAGCCGGGGCAGGACCCGAGCGGGCTCCTGCTGCTCGGAGCGGCCGGAGAAGGCGGGAGACGGCGCTCGGCGTCCTGAAAAGGGACCCCCGGATGGTGGGGGTGCGGAGCCGCCGCGGGGCCCCGCAGTGCGGGCAGAGGGAGGCGCCGCGGCGCTGGGCTTGCCCCATCTGGGCCGACCAGGGGTCCGTTTTTGTTTTTTTGCGGCCCTTTGAGGGCCTCCGGGTGGAGGAGTCGTGTCGGGGCAAGATGCGGGGGTCGGGGCAACCGGTCTGCAGCGCGTCGGCCCCCCGGGATGTGCGTGCAGGCGGCCCGGGCTGGGGAGAAGGCCCCGAATTGACTCCAACCCCGGGAGCAGGCCCGGGCGCTCCTGCAGCTCGCTGGTTTAGGAGACCTGGAATCCTGCGGAGAGGTGGGGCCTGGCACGCCCGGGTCTGTGGCGGAGATTTTGCAGTTCAAGTAATCACCGGCATTCAGCATGTTTGATGAAGGCCACGGGGTGTGCGGGGGCGAGGGGAGTTTTGGATCCCTCCTGCCTAGCCTGGAAAACTTGAAAAGCGGGGAAAACCTGCTTGAAAGTGCTGCCTGATTTACGAGGTGTCTTCACCTATGTCTGAAATCGCTCATAGGTGGCATGCAGAATTCCTTACATGTCTTCAGGAACTTAGTAACTTAAAATAAATCATTACTTTTTAATTTATTGAACATTTTCTTTTTAGGGAGCAATAGTCCAGTGGGTAGGGTGTTTACCTTGAAGGTGGCTGACCCAGGTTTGATCCCTGGCATCTAGTATGGTCCCCCGAGCACGCCAGGAGTAATTCCTGGTGCAGAGTCAGGAGTAACCCCTGAACATTGACTGGTATGCCTGCCCTCTCCCCTAAAAAAATTCTTTTTAGGGGCTGGAGAGAGTACAGTGGGTAAGGTTCTTGCCTTGCCCGTGTCATCCTGAGGTTTTATCCCTCGCAACTCATATGGTCCCCGGAACACCGCCAGGAGTAATTTCTGACCGCAGAGCCAGGAGTAACCCCTGAGCATCGCTGTTGTGACCCAAAAACCTAAAAAACTTTATATTTTTAATTTTAGGGCTAGGGGCTGGGGATTGAACCTGGGTCAGTTGCTTGCAAGGCAGGTACTCTTCCTGCTGTATATCACTTCAGCCTCAAATCGTTACTTTTCAAAGGGACAAATAATTAAGAATTCGCTGAAACCACATAATGAATCACTTCTTTTGGGGAAAATATATTACAAGAAATGGAATTGCCAGGCTTTAACCTTTATGTGTGTGTGTGTCTGCGCGCGCGCGCACGTGTGTGTGTGTGTGTGTATAGGATCTTGAAATCATTTTTTATGAAATCTTCAGATTTGAATGGGGTTTTTGGAGGGCTTTTTGGGCCACACCAAGCAATGCTCAGGGATTACTCCTGGCTCTGCACTCAGGAATTACTTCTGGTGGTGCTTGGGAGATCACATAGGTGCCAGAGATCGAACACAGGTCTACCACATGCAAGGCAAATGCCCTGCCCACTGTACTATTATTACGGCCAGAGTGTTTATTTTTGTACACTCTGCATCCTTTGTCAGATGGGGTTCCTTGAGGGATCTCTTGAGGGATCCAGAGGGAGATGTCCTGGTGATAATGACCCCAGGGTTTATTTTCTCAGTTCTCCAAGTTGGGGCATGAATTGTGCATCTACACAAAGAGGGAAAGTGAAGTCATTTTTTATGGGTATGCCCACAGAAGTGGGACTCTTTTTTTTTTTTAATGAGCTATTGGAAATGTCTGCCTTATAGGTTCCTGAAACATCCGTTCACAAGTAGAAGTGAATGGTCAAGTGCTGAGAGGTCCCTGCTTACTCATTTGAACTGTTTTTGCAGTCAACAGCATTCATTTTCTTGTTTTATTAATGTATAGTTTATTTTTATAAAATTCTAAAATTCACCAATTTGGGGGGTGGGGTGTGGGCATTGTTTGGGCCACGCTTGTCTGTGCCCAGGGCTGACTCCTGGCTGAAACCTACCAATTTAAAGTGTCATTTTACCCAGTTGTGCAGCCAACATCCATCATCATAGATGCGTTTCAGAACATTTCCATCATCTGAGAAGGACTGTCAGCCCATCTGGACTCACTACTCATAACTCATGCCAACCTCTCTCTGGTTGTATACACTTTTCTGGACAGTTTTTTGTTGTTGCTGTTGTTGTTGTTTCTTTTATTTTTTATTTTTTTTGGGGGGAAATACTTGGTGATACTCAGCGCTTACTCCTGGCTCTGTGCTCAGGTATCATCCTGGCCAGAGCTCAGGGGACCATATGGGTACCAGTGATTGAACCTGGGTCTGCTGCATGCATGACAAGTGCCTTCACCCATGTACAACCGCTCTAGCCCCTTAGAATTTTTTATTTTCTTTTTGGGCCACACCTGGCAATGCTCAAGAGTTACTCCTGGCTCTGCACTCAGGAATTACTCCTGGCGGTGCTCGGGGACCATATGTGATGCTGGGAATCAAACCTGGGTTGGCCACATGCAAGGCAAACACCCTACCTGCTATACTATCACTCCAGCCCCAAGTCCCTTAGAATTTTTTTTTTAATTTTCATTTTGGTTTTAGGCCGCACCCGGTAATGCTCAGAGATTACTCCTGGCTCTGCGGTGCTTGGGGGACCATATAAGATGCTGGGGATTGAACAGGGTCAACTGCATGCAAAGCAAAGCAAGCGCCTTCCCTGCCATAATATCTCTCCAGGCCCTCTTTTCTTTTCTGAGGTTAATCCCTTGGCCAGCCTGTGTCCTGTATCAGCGTTTCGTTCCTTTCCTTCTTCATATCATGTCCCTGGCATCCTGCCAGTCCCTGGGACCTAGCTGGTGTTCAGTGATGGTTGAGAATCTGTTGAAGGCCAAATGTTCCTCCAGAAGTTGGGTGGCTATCCATCAGAGCAACTTGAATTGTCAGCTCTTGCATTGTTTTTGTTTTTGTTTTGGGGCCATATGCTGTGGTGCTGAGGGGCTATTCCTGACTCAGTGCTCGAGGGACCAAGTGGTCTGGGGACTCAACCCAGGCCTCCTGCATGCAGAACATGTGCTCAGCTCTTTGAACTATCTCCCAGTCTGGCTTTGATTTTTTTTTCTTTTTTTTTTTGGTGGGGGGGTCACACCCGACGATGCACAGGGGTTATTCCTGGCTCATGCACTCAGGAATTACTCCTGGTGGTGCTCAGGGAACCATATGGGGTGCTGGGAATTGAACCGGGGTCACTGCGTGCAAGGCAAATGCCCTACCCACTGTACTATCACTCCAGCCCCTGCTTTGATTTTTTGTTTTTGGGGGGGGGGGGCTACACCTGATTATGCTCAGGGCTAATTTCTGGCTCTGTACTCAGGGATCATTCTTGGGACCACATAAACCCAGCTCAGCAGCATGCAGGCAAGCACTCTACCTGCTGTGCGATTGCTCCAGCTCCTGGCTTTGATTTTTGTAATTAAAAGCAGAAGACCATCATGGAAGTTGACCAATGTGAATTGAAGCTATCTGGATATTGGGTAACAGTGGCCGCTGTGGTAGAGAGATTGCTAGTGACAGAGTCCTGTGCCGTGACCGTGGCCCCCCAGGACAGTGCCCAGTTGGAAGCCTGGCTTTCTGCCTCTGCCTATTGTGGTTTTTCCCCTGGAAATCCCTTGTTTCTCTTCTCTCTCTCTGAGGATTACAGTTTCTTCTCCTTCTGCTCCTCCTCCTCCTTTTTATTGTTATTTTTTGGGGGGAGGGTTTGGGGGTCGCACCCAGAAGTGTTCCAAGGTTACTCCTGGCAATGCTCAGGACTATAGTGGGTACTTGGGATAGAACCAGGGTCTACCTCTTGCGAGGGAAGCACCCCACCTTCTCTACTGTCTCTCTGGCCTTCCTCTTTTTTCTGTATTTGTTTCCCGAGTTCGATTCCTCCATCCTCCCAGAGAGCCCGGCAAGCTATCGAGAGTATTTTGCCCGCACGGCAAAGCCTGGCGAGCTCCCCGTGATGTATTCGATATGCCAAACACAGTAACAGCAAGTCTCAGGATGGAGACGTTACTGGGTCCGCTCGAACAACGGGAGGATAGTGCTAGTGCTAGTGCTATATGTTTGTTGCACTGACAGAATACTCTGTGAACAAAACGAATAAACTTAATCTTGAAAGGCAAGAAGTAATGAGGCACAAGAACTCTGGATGCTGCGCAGAGTTCTTCCTCCGGCAGAAAGCCTGTGGGACTGCGGGTCAGAAATAGAAGGCCCTCGGGGGAAGCCGTTTGAGTCAGTGTTTGTGTCCCTTGAGAGTCGAAGTGGTAATGAAAATGCACAGGACTGAAATGCAAAAATGAAGAAAGGGGCATTTCAGATAGCAGGTTAAGTAAGCGCATCCCTATGAAGAGGTTTCAGGTGGGCCTGGAACAAGTTTTCGGTAAGAGATAAATGCAGTGAGTTTTGGGACAGATTCACCCTGCAGATTCTGTCATTTTTTTTTTTTTTATCATTACTGAAACACCATGAGGTACAGTTGTAGACTTACAAATTTTTGTGCTTGCATGTTAAGTGAAATGAGTCAGAAAAAGAGGGACAGACATAGAAAGATTGCAGATTCTGTCATTGCTGGGCCATTCTCTAGAGCACTGGCCCTTCCAGGGAGGTTGGGGCATCCAGGAGGAGGTCCTGAAGCTGCATGCATTTAACCAGGACGAGTGGAAAGCTTCTGCTACCAACAATGTTTTTTTTTTTAATATTTAATATATATATATATATTTTGGGTTTTGACTTGGAGCCATACTCAGTGGTGCTCAGGGATTACTCATGGCTCTGTGCTCAGGGATCCCTCCTGGCAGGCTTGGGGACCATATGGGGTGCTGGGGTTTGAACCTGGGTTGACCGCATGCCCTACCCACTGTACTATCACTTTAGCCCCTGATCATTCAGAATTTTTTTTTATTAAGACACCATGATTTACATTATTCATAGTTGTGCTTTGTTTTTGTTTGTTTTTGGGGAAATGTCTGGTGATGCTCAAGGCTTACTCCTGGCTCTGCACCCAGGAATTACTCGAGTAGTGCTCAGGGAACCATATGGGATACCAGGGAATGAACCCAGGTTGACAGCATGCAAGGCAAGCCCTCCCCACTGTACTCTCTTTCCAGCTCATAGCTGAATTTTAGGCATACTATGTTCCAGCACTCGTTCCCCAACTCATGTTCCCAGTCCCCACTCCCCCCCTTGCAGCCTGCCTCTTTGACAGGACACTTTGAAGTGTAGTGGTTGTGGTTGGGATCTCTTGCTTTCACTGTTGCTGACTCTCTGGTCTGGATATATATGTATACTACTCTTCTACACCACAGATGTGCCTGAGGCTCTTGAGTTCTGCCCCGTTACTTCCTGCCCTCCTCTTCTGACTTCCCATTAAAATTTCTTCCTTCTCTTCCCTGGAATCAGGGGTCATCTGGGCATGCTTCAGCCCCCTTTACTTCATTGCATTCCCTTATCCATTTACTCTATATATCCTCAGAGAAGATCATCCTGTATCAGTTGATTTTTTTTTTTTATTAGTGAAACACCATGAGGTACAGTTGTAGACTTACAAATTTTTGTGCTTGGGTTTCAATTATACAGTGATCAAATACCCATCCCTCCACCAGTGCCCATTTCCCACCACCATGGATCCCTCCCCCCCTCCCCCCCCTCTTGTTTGTTCATTGCAGCACTCTTTTTTTTTTTTTTACAGTTGTAGATTTATAATTTTTTGTGCTTGGGTTTCGATTATACAATGATCAGATACCCATCCCTCCACCAGTGCCCATTTTCCACCACCATGGATAATATCCCCCCACCCCCATCCCCCCATCCCCCCCTGTCTCTGTGGCAGGGCAATTCCCTGTGTTCTCTCTCTCCTTTTGGGTGTTGTGATCTGCAAAAGAGGCATTGAGTGACAAACATGTTCAGTCCATAGTCTACTTTCGACATGCATCTCCCCTCCTGGGAGGATCCTCCAAACATCCTTTATTTGGTGCTCCCTTCTCTATCTGAGCTGGCCTTTCCTCTAGGATACCCGGCTGGCCTCTAAGTTATGGAGTAATCCTCCTGGTGCTGATCTCAGCTATTCTTGGGTATTAATCTCATACTTTGTTACTTTATATCCCCCAGATGAATGCAATCTTTCTATGTCTATCCCTCTCTTTCTGACTCATTTCGCTTAGCATGATACTTTCCATATTGTACCACTTGTATGTAAATTTCATGACTTCATCTTTTCTAACAGCTACATAGTACTCCATTGTGTAGATGTACCAGAGTTTCTTTAACCAGTCATCTGTTCTTGGGCATTCAGGTTTCTTCCAGTTTCTGGCTATTGTAAAGAGGCAGCACTCTTTACAATAGCCAGAAACTGGAAAAAACCCGAGTGCCCGAGAACAGATGACTGGTTAAAGAAACTCTGGTACATTTACACAGTGGAGTACTATGTAGCTGTTAGAAAAGATGAAGTCATGAAATTTACATACAAGTGGTACTATGTGGAAAGTATCATGTTAAGCGAAATGAGTCAGAAGGAGAGGGATAGGTATCAGTTGATTTTTTAAGAAATTTTTGGTTTGGGGCAGGAGCCATAATACAGCCGGTAGGGTATTTGCCTTGCATGCAGCCTACCTGGGTTCAATTCCTGGCATCCCATATGGACCCCGGAGCACTACCATAAGTGATTCCTGAGTGCAGAGCCAGGTGTAACCCCTGAGCATCGCTGGGTATGACCCAAAAAAGCCAAAAAAAAAAAAAAAAGAAATTTTTGGGTTTTTGGCCATACCTGGCTATACTCAAGGGGTTATTCCTGGCTCTGCACCCAGGAATCACTCCTAGTGGTGCTGTGCTGGGGATCAAGCCCGGGTCGGCTGTGTGCATGGCAAGTGCCCGTGGGTCACACCTGGTGATGCACAGGGGTTACTCCTGGCTCTGCACTCAGGAATTACTCCTGGCAGTGCTTGGGGGACCATATGGGATGCTGGGAATCAAACCCAGGCTGGCCGCGTGCACGGCAAACACCCGACTTGCTGTGCTATCACTCTAGCCCCAAACAGTGATTTTTTAAGTCAGAGAAACTGTACAAAACAGATGAGAATTGGAGCTGCTCCTCTCCTGCCAGCAGAATCCCTCTTTTTCTCTCCATGACTGTAGTAGTGGCTTGTGGCGTGGCATCAGTAGGTGGCTGGGGACTGTCCCCTGCTCTGCAGGAGTGCCAGGTGAGTGTGCGGCACCTTGTCAGGCTAGGCAGGAGGCCACTGCAGCCGCCGGCCTCCCTCATGGCCACCGAGCAGGCAAGGGGCAAAACTGTTTCAATCCTGGGTTCCTTTTATGGAGCCGCAGAGAGTCGGGACCAGCAAGGGGCCCAGAGAACATTGTGTCAATGCTGAGACGCCTCGAACATAAGGGTCTGTGGGAGATGGAAAGGGATCAGGCTGAGCCGTGGAGGGGCAGGAAGGAGAGGCTGGGGTGTCCTCTCCAATGTCCTGGACAGTTGGAGTCTGTCCCGAGTCCCCTGGGAGCCCATGTGCAGCCCTGCAGGGCCGAGGAGCTCGGCTCTGGGTCTGGAGCCAGACCCCTCACATCTGTTTGTCTGACGCTCCTTCCACTGAAGAGAACATCTGTGTGTCACCGACCTGCACTCGGCCTCTGGTTTCACTCTGGCTGCGGGTCCCTGGGGGCGCCCCACAAACCGGTGACTTGTCTTTTCCACAGCCACCCCTGGGACACGGTCATCAAGGCTGCCATGCGCAAGTACCCGAACCCCATGAACCCCTGCGTGGTGGGCGTGGACGTGCTGGAGCGGAGCGTGGACGGCCACGGCCGACTGCACAGCCACCGGCTTCTCAGCACCGAGTGGGGCCTGCCCGGCTTCCTGAGAGCGGTGAGTGGGGCCTGTGTCACCTGCCCCGGGTCAGCCGCCCATGTCACCTGCCCCCTCCCCACCCCCAGTCAGGCTCTGCCACTGTCACCTCACAGCCCTACATAGCCACTGGGTACCACCTGTGACACCCTAATGTCCCTCTCCTCCACATTGTTCCTGCACCCCCTCAGGCCCACAGTGGCAGTGATAACCATGTGACCCTGTCTATTCCCACCACACCCCTCTGTGCTAACCCCACCTGCGGGAAGTGACAGCTTCTCCTCAGAGGGCCACTCAGGATTTCTGGAGGGCATGATAGAGTTCTCGTCCCCCCCCCCCCCCCCCCGCCCATGGGCCCACCTGCTCCCATTTACGCTGTGTCCTGGTCTCTTCTGAGGAGGACCCCAGTCAGATTAGGTCATGGCCTACCTGACACCCGGTTCCCCTATCGCATAAAAAGACACAGAGCCATATGCAGTGGGGTGGGGGTGGGGGTCCAGGCTTGAACATGTAGATGAGGAGGGGACACATTTTGGTTTTGGGTCACACCAGTTGATGCACAAGGGTTACTCCTGGCTTTGCACTCAGGAATTAGTCCTGGTGGTGCCCAGGGGACCATCTCAGGCATTGAGGATCAAACCCGGGACGGTAGCCTGCATGCGAGCGCCCTCTCCGCTGTCCTCTGCTCTAGCCCTGGGAAACACATTTAACCTATGGCAGGATTCATTCGTGGAGAGGTCATCCACGAGGTGACTGAGAGTGTAACTTTGAGCCCAGCGGTGCCACATGCCCTGTCATCTGTCTCCTTGCCCTCTGTGGCCCCAAGTTACCACACTGGCCCAGGACCCTGCATGCTGACCTGCCCTGTCCCAGCTCTGCCCACCTTGGCCGTCCCCTGGGTAGTTTCTGGCTAAAGCATTTGTTCCCATTACACACTAGCACTCCCTGAGCCACTCACAGGGTCAGCGGGTGCCCACTGGCATGAGAGCACCCCAACAGGGCCCTGGGGCTCCCACTGTCTCTTTCCCATGGTGCCCGCACCAGGGAGATGAGCAACTCAGTCTGTAAGTCAAACAGCATCATGTGTTTGATGGTACAGAATGCAGCGTCAAACCCATTGCTATACCGGTTTTGCTTTGTTTTTTTTTTTTAGATTTTGGGGACCAGCAGGACTTTGACGTACATCAAAGAACATTCTGTCGTGGATCCAGTGGAAAAGAAAATGGAACTCTGTTCCACCAATGTAAGTGGTGGCCGGGTGCTTGCTTTCCTGGGCTTGGTGCGAATAGCCTTCATTTCAGTTTTTTTCTTCCCAGCAGACTGGTCTAAGTGAACTTTCTACTTTTTGGAGAAAGGCTGAATTTATTTATTTATTTATTTATTATTATTATTATTTTTTGCTTTTTGGGTTATACCCGGCAATGCTCAGGGGTTACTCCTGATTCATGCACTCAGCGTGCTCAGGAGGCCATATGGGATGCTGGGAATTGAACCTGGGTCGGGCCGCGTGCAAGGCAAACGCCCTACCCGCTGTGCTATCCCTCCAGCCCCAAGGCTGAATTTATTTTGCAGCATTTTGTGTGACTGTTTATTCCAGTGTAGTCAAAGTATAGAAGGTGAATGCACCTAGTGCTGATCGTCACCCAAGCAAACTTACCTTTGTAACCAGGAGGCAGCCGGGAGATAGCACAGCCCAGCCCCAGAAGCCCCTTGTCTCTTTTCTCCATATCCTGATTTCCAAAATCAGTATCAGAGAAGAGTGATAGTACAGCAGGTAGGGCACTCGCGTTGCACGTGGTCAACCTGAATTCAATTCCTGGCACCCCATATGTTCTCCTGAGTGTTACCAGGAACAATCCCTGAGCACAGAGCCAGGAGCAGCCCTGAACATCAAATTGTGCCCTCATCCCTCTCCCCACCAAAAAAAAAAAAAAAAAAAAAAAAAACAGACCCAAACAATTAAAATAAAAAATCAGTTTTAGCAGGAAACTTGTTTGTTTTGGGACCACACCTGGGAGTGCTCAGGGGGTACTCCTGGCTCTATGCTGGTCACTTTCAGGGTGCTCTGGGGTCTATAGGTGGGGCCAGGGACTAAACTAGGGTCAACTGCATGCAAGTGATGTACAGTAACACCTGGACTATCTCTCCGGTCTTGAGAAATTGAAAAGGCATCTTTCTTCCTTCACTGCATATTGTCAGAATGCACATTTGTGGGGCCAGAGTGATAGTACAGTGAGGAGGGTATTTGCCTTGTACGCGGTGGACCCAGGTTTGGTCCCTGGCATCCATATGGTTCCCTGAGCACTGCCAGGAGTAATTCTTGAGTGCAGAGCCAGAAGTAATCCTTGGGCATTGCTGAGTGTGACTAAAAAAGGAAAAAAAAAAATTTGTGGTACATTCTGGGAGGTAGCACAGGGGTTAAGCCACTGATGGCTCCCAGTTCAATGCCCCTGATTGGATTCCTTGTATCACATGGTCCTATAGGCTCTGAGTGGGAGGGTCACTCCTGAGCTGCTGCCTGATGTGACCCAGGGCAACCAAGATTGCACATTCTGTTCTTATAGTCTATGTAGATCTAGGGCACTGCTTTGTGAATCCCCGGGGCAGTGATCCCCAAAATCCAGGACTACTCTCAGGGAACGAGAAGCTTCCTGCTAGTTTACCAGGATGTTAAACTCAGTAACGTTTTGTCTTTTTCTACCACTGCTGATGCTTTGGCAATTGGAAAATACCACAAAAGCCAGACCCTGCTCAGTTTTGAGTGGGGTTGTGGAGACAGGGAGGTAACTGCAGTACCACCCATAATCCTGCCCTTTACCTGGTGGTGGCTTCTGGGCCCGAAGTGTGTTCTGGTTCCCGAAAGTGCTAGTTTGAGGATGGAAGGAAGGACATGGCAGTTGTGGTGGCGGGGGTGGGGCAGAGAAACAAGAGAGAACAGGCCCCCAAAGCTTCTTTCTTACAGATCACACTTACAAACTTGGTGTCTGTGAATGAGAGACTGGTCTACACACCCCACCCGGAGAACCCAGAAATGTAAGTCATTGTGCCCCGGGGTGGGTGCATTCAGCCTCGAGGTCAGGGTGGAGTGGGTCCTCCTCTTTCACAGGGCAGCTAAGCCCCTTTTGCTTGTTGCTTTTCTAAGGACCAAGCTCACGCAGGAAGCCATCATCACTGTGACTGGGATCAGCCTCGGTAGCTATCTGGAAAGTCTCATGGCCAGCACGATATCGTCCAATGCAAAGAAGGTACAGAGCTGGCCTCTGGGATGCATGGGCTTCCGATATAAAGTGGGTGGGGCGTGTCCTTCCCGAAATCCTGAGTGCTGGGCACACTGTCTCTAGCTGAGCTCGTAAGGCCACAGGATGCCCTCCTAATTAGACAAGGGACAGGGAACACTGGCCTAGGTGTGAGGGGACAGTGTGGCATCCACGTGGAACATAAACCCAGTGCAGGTCACTACCACTACAGAGAGTTGAAGTCACATTGACTTGGTAGTAAGAGAAACTCCAATACCAGAAAGAGCATCTGTGTTCTTATCACCAGGCAAGATAATTGAGCTCTCCAAAGCCCTATATTGGATTATATTTTCAGCAGTTCTGACTGTCGGATCAGCCTAGCTCAGTCTCCCCAAATGGTGTTTCCCTGTAGTCACTTTTGCTTCTCCCCTCTGGTGGGACTTGGGCGTAACCTTTGTGGGGGAGTGGGTGGCTGCTTATCTCCCAGGGCTGTGGGGCAGAGAGCTCGGCATTTGTGAGGAGAGATTTCTCACAACTCAGGTGCTCTTCTCCCTGGCAGGGTTGACGATTGCATGTGTGGAAGGAAGATGTTATGGGAGATTCAGTTGTTGTCAGAGCAGAGTTTTGGTTTTCAGCCTGAGCTTCTGACATGGACTAGTAGCCTCCCTCCACTGCCCTCCCTCCCCCCCCCCCCCAGCCTGGGCTCTTCCCCTCCCCTTTCTCTCCTGCTTGTTTTTCATCAGAAAAGATTGTACACTGGGGCCTGAGAGATAGCACAGCAGGGAGGGCACTTGCTTTGCATGCAAATGACCCTGGTTTGATTATCCATCACTCCATCTGGTCCCCCAAGCATCACCAGGAGTAATTCCTGAATGCTGAGCCAGGAGTATGTCCTGAGTGTCACTGGATGTGACCTCAAAATAAACAAACAAAAAAGATTCTGCATTTTGGGGTTAGTTGGATGGTGCCTGAATTTTATCTTTCCTCCTACCTTGCTTAGACCACAAATGATGGCTTGTGTACAGTCCAGTCACAGGAACAAGGAGCAGGTCTCTATTTTAAGGAAAAGTCCAGGTGAGAAATGTTAGCTGTTCTTAGCTGTTAGCGCAGGGCAAGCAGGGAAGAGCACCTAGAGTGTATCCACACCCAATGTTGAATCTATACCAGGCCTTCTGGGAGGACACAGAGCCCTACAGAGATTTGGGTGTTCAGTTTATGACTTAGGGTAGGCACCCTGTTTGCAAAAAGTGTGGTGTGTGTGTGTGTGTGTGTGTGTGTGTGTGTGTGTGAGTGATATGTGATGAGAGAGAAAATAATAAACTATTCAATGAACCAGATACATTTCAGACAGTATATCAGAAAAGTCAGGGTGAAGTCAGTGAGACCAAGTAAAATTCTTTCACTTCAACTTATGTTAGGGGCTGCCCTGTTGAATCCCTGTCCTTCCCTAGCTAGTTACCATCTGACAGCATTCCTACTCTGCTGGGAATATGTCCAGAGATAGAGGCCATCAGGGGGCAGGGGCAGGAGCTGTACATGATGGGAGATAACATATGATGGGCACCCTGAGGATGGAGATGATGGAGACAGATGATGGAGACAGTGGGGGGGGGGGTGGAGATGATGGAGACGGGGTGGAGATGATGGAGACAGCGGGGGGTGGAGATGATGGAGACCGAGATGGCAGAGACAGTGGGGTGGAGATGATGGAGACAATGGGGGTGGGGATGATGGAGACTGAGATGATGGAGACAGTGCAGGTAGAGTTGGTGGAGACAGTGGGGGTGAACATGGTGGAGACATTGGGGGTGGAGATGATGGAGACAGATGGTGGTGATGTTGGAGACTGAGATGGTGGAGACTGGGCATAGAGACGATGGAGACAGAGGTGATTAGCACAACTCATTGAGCAGGCCGTGAGAGTGGCTACCATTTCTCCAGCTCCCTGGCTGCACTCAGATGATGGCACCAATGTGGGTACCACAGAGGGGCACCAGCATCCATGTAATCTGAGCTAGAGTGACACAAATGACTATCGGTTCTGGTTTTGAGACACTGCGATCGTGTAAGGTGCTTGTGAGCACTACCCCACCTCTTCCCATCCCCACCCACTGTGCTGCCTCTGTCACGGGAGCACTTTCCTTCTGCGCCTCAGGCAGTGAAGTGTCATCTCTTACACGGGTCTGAAATCTTTGTCGCTCCAGGGCTGGGCTGCTATTGAGTGGATAATTGAGAATTCTGAGAGTGCCGTGAGCTAATGGGCGTGTACCCGGACCCCGAGAGCAGCAGTGGTAACCACAGTGCTTCTGAACCTGGTGGGGCATCACCCGGGAACCGTGTGCTTGGTGCGGGGCTGGGGGGCACTGCCACACACGCTGCACATGCGTCTCCCATCCTGCACTCACCTTTGTACCTCCTGTAGGTGCCTCCTCTTCCTGACTTGTCCCCTGTTTTCTGATAGGAGGTATTTCCCAGCAAGCTTCAACGCAGACCATCTGGTCTCTTGAAGGCAGTTCCATCTCTCCTGCAGGCTGCCTAGGAACGTGGTCACGTTTCCTGTGACTTCTTATGCTTTCTTGGTGTAGAGTGTTGGCTGACCTGACAGGGGGAGGTTTCTGCCTCGGGGGAGACTGACTTCTGCCCTTGGTCCTATCCAGCTTCTGTGCCCTGCCGGCAAAGTAGCAGGGTGAGGGGGTCAGCCCAGCCCCTCACCCAAAGGCGGCACCCGGGGACTGCTAGTGACTCCTTTCTTTCTGGAGCAAACACCTTTTGCAGAATCTCCCTGAGCACCACAAACATTCCTTGATTCCGAGGCCACCAGTGGCTTGACCAGCAGGAAGGGACTGGCCAGTGGCCATCTTCTACTTTAGAAGAACACTCCCACTTGCTTTGGTGCAGGGACCCTTCTGTTCCTGCCTTGAAACCCCTCTTCCTGGTGACTTTGCCGTGGGCTGTGCTTCTCAGGCCTGGATTCTTCTGTCTGTCTGTCTGTCTGTCTGTCTGCAGCATGCGGGGCCACCCTGGAGCCAGTTTAGCACATGGTCACAGTTGGGGCTTCTTTATGAACTTGCTGATTTGGCTTAAGTCACCGCAGCTTAGGTGTGCGCGAGACCTTCACTTTGCGCCCCAGGTCGTGTTCTGGGGCTGGTTTCTCTCCTTTCCCTGGGCTTGCTGCTGGGGCACTTACCTGGAGCTCGGGCTGCCTGCTGGGGCCAGCGGGGGTGCGGGCAGGGTGCTGGGTGCCAAGTGTGGCCTCTGCCCCCTTGTGTTGCCTGAGAAACGAGTGCTAAACTGCCTCCGTCTCCAACCAGATACCTCATGCAGAGTGATCCCAGAGGAAAGGAAGGATGGGACCAGCACGTCCGGGACATGCGTGCTGGGCTGGGAGCGGTGTGCAATGTGTCGGAGTCTGGCTGCCAGGTCACTACTTTCCCCCGGGGCTTCTCTGTCATGACCTTGCAGGACAGGAGGCAAGGTGCAGGGGGCGTGCTCCTCAGAGCCCTGGAAGGAGGAGCGCTGGAGGAGGAGGGGCCTGGGGCTGTTACTTGCTGCTTTGCTGACTTTGACACTGAACTTCAGCCCTGCAGCCCGGAGCACATCCAGTCAGATTGTGCTGTCCTGTCATTCCCCCTTAGCCATGCCTCTTCTTTCCCGCCAACTCCTAGCCTCTTCTGAGTAAGCTTTGTTCTTTCATAGAGCTCTAGGGTCTGCCCAGCCCCCAACTTGTTCCCTAATCCACAACCTTTTTTTTTTTTTTTGAGACCACACCTAGCAGTGCTCAGGGTTTATTCCTGGCTTTCTGCTTAGGGATCACTCTTGGTGGGGCTTGGGGAACCATATGCGACACCGGGGATGGAACCCTGGTCAGCCGTGTGCGAGGTGAACCCCCTACCTACTGTACTATCTCTCTGCCCCCACTTCCCAGTCTACTGTCTTTACCCTAGTGTCCTCACTCATACACCTGGCTCCCATCTGTCACTTCGCCTGTCGTCATTGTGCCCCTTGTTTGCCCCCACCCCCCAAATCAGGGTCTGTGCAGATCTAGAGGTGAATTTTCCATCTTTTTTTTTTTTTTTGCTTTTTGGGTCATACCCGGCGATGCTCAGGGGTTACTCCTGGCTCTGCACTCAGGAATTACTCCTGGCGGTGCTCAGGGGACTATATGGGATGCTGGGAATCGAACCCGGGTTGGCCACGTGCAAAGCAAACGCCCTACCCGCTGTGCTATCGCTCGAGCCCCTGGATTGTCCATCTTGATGGACAGTCCTGGATGGCTCTGCTGACCCCATTCCCTCGCAACCAGGCATCCAGCCCTGTGTCCAGGGCCATGAGCGGGGTTGGAGCCGGTCCTGCTGCCCCGGGTCAGAGCTGCGGGCATAGGCTCTGCACAGAGGCCCGTTAGGGGCTGCAGAAATGATCCTCCTGCTGTCCAGCACTTAGCGGGCCCATTGGGAATCTTAATTCTCCTATTTTCAAAAGTAAAGTGTAAAAATCTCTTTCAATGTATGTCAAGTGATAACTCTGTAAAGAAGAGTCCCCCTAAAGAATGAAGAATTGTAGAACATTTCTCTCCTATGCTTCTGCAATACTGCTTTTTCATTTGACAGTAGTACTCTGAATCCAAAGTGAAATAAAATTTATTTGTGTACATGGATGTATTTTTTTTTTGTGGTTGTTGTTGGAGTTCCCGGGAGCCCATGTGGTTCTGGGGATCAAACCCAGGCCTCCCACTTGCATCACTTGCCCTCAACCTGTTAATGTCTAACCCAGAGTTTAAAACATTTATAGCAGAAACAGCTGCCTTTTGTTGTTGTTGTTGTTGTTGTTGCTTATTGGGTCACACCTGGTGATGCATAGGGGTTAAAATCCTGGCTAATGCACTCAGGAATTACTCCTGGCGGTACTCGCGGGACCATATGGGATGCTGAGAATCAAACCCGGATCAGCTGTGTGCAAGGCAAATGCCCTACCTGCTGTGCTATGGCTCCAGCCCCAGAAACAGCCTCCCTTAATCTTTTTGCAGTGTAGGCCTCTATCATTTTGAGGGTACTCTTCATTCTTCGGAGATTTCTCAGTAAAGAAGCATGTCATGTGATTCCTTGACCCAGCGGTTTGGAGGGAGGATTGGTGTTGGGCCGTACTCAGTGATGCTCAGAGCTTACTCCTGTCTCAGTGCACAGGGTCCCTCTTGGCGGGGCTCAGGGAACCAGATGAGGTACCGAGGATCAAATTGGAGTCAGCTTTGTGCAAGGCAAACACCCTACCTGCTGTTCTCTCTCTCTCACTGGTCCTAAAACCACAATTTCAAAGAACCCATTGATGGTGTTAATAGTGAGGTCTATTCATACCAAATGGCCAAAAAGCACATTCAGAATTTCCTTAATTTTGAGACACAGCTGTTTATTTCCAAGCCCAACGGGATAACAGGATTACATCTCTCTTCTGGAATATTTTTTCCTCTTGAAGGTAACAGTTGTCTTTTCCCTATTTCATTTCATCCATAAATGCCTCCTGCCGAGGGCCGACAGTGCTTCACTGACTTCCTGTAGTGCCTGGCACTGGCCTTCCCTCAGCTCAGGCATCTCAGGCCTTTCCTGGTGTCCCTGGGCCAGGGCCTCAAGATGCAGGTCTGGCTTTGTTGACCCTTGGTTTCCCCACGGCCTGCCAGCCTCAGCAGCCCTTGTCCTGTGTCCCAGCCTTCCTCCTTCCACCACTGACAAGAAAGCACGGCTTGTGGCAGCTTTATAGTCTTGGCACATCTGAAAACATCTCATGCTTCATCCAGCCCTTGGCTGGACAAATAATCTAGATAAAAAAATATTTCCAAGGCATTGCTCCATTGTTTTTCAGTGATTCTTGATCCTCTGTATGTGGCTGTTTTTTTTTAACGTCCCAAAGCTTATAGGATCTCTTTAGCCCCGACATTGTGAAATTTCATGAAGCTCAGCCTTGTCTGAAATCATCCTTTCAAATTCACAATACCCATTTTCTGACTTTGTGCTGTATGTATTAAATTTCTGACTTTGGAACTATGTAAGATGCAATTATGTAAGATGTTATAGGGTGAAATGAATGAAAGGTACACGAGACATTCCTGTGAACTTATTATAGTGTTACAATACACACACACACACACACACACATATACGTGTATGTGTATATAAAAAAGCACTGTCACTGTCCTCCTATTGTTCATCGATTTGCTCAAGCGGGCCCAATGACATCTCCATTGTGAGACTTGTTACTGTATTTGGCATATCGAATATGTCACGGGTAGCTTGCCAGGCTTTGCCATGTGGGAAGGATATTCTTGGTAGCTTGCTGGGCTCTCTGAGAGGGACAGAGGAATCGAACTCAGGTTGGCCGGGTTGGCCGCGTGCAAGGCAAACGCCTTACCCGCTGTGCTATCGCTCCAGCCCTGTGCGTGTGTGTGTGTGTGTGTGTGTGTGTGTGTGTGTATGCATATACACACACACATGTGCCATCATGGAAAGTGGCACGCTGGTAAGTTGCCTAAAAATGAATTTTGGAGGAATTCTGAATCTGAACTAAATACTTAACCCAATCAGGGGTGCTTAATCAATCTCAGTTCACCTCCCTGTGGATTTTTCAGGTCCTGTTTTTCTGAAGAGCTCTGGTTAACACACTCTAAAAGCTAGGTTAGTAGTAATTTAAACTTTATTTGTATACATTTCAGATGTTAATTGTAATCATCAGGGCAGCCAGTGGAAAAATAACTAGAGGGGCTGGAAAGATAGTACAGCAGGTAGGATGCTTGCCTTGCACATGGCTGACCTGAGTTTGATCCCCAGAATCCCATATGGTCCCCTGAGCACCACCAAGAGTAATTCCTGAGTACAGAATCAGGAATAACCCTTGCGCATCACTGGGTGTGGCCCCACCTAAATAAATAAAACAGAAAATGCACTCAAGATATTTTATTTCCTAATGCACCATCATTTATATAAATTAGCTTTGGGTGTAAAATTAATTACCAAATCCTGGCAATTGCTCCACTCTCAAATAGTTTACCATCCTTTCTTAGATAAGGAATTGAATTTTTTGTTTGGATTTTTGAATTTGGTGACTACACTCAGTGTTAATCTGGTGCTATTCTTGACTCTGCTCAGGAGTGATTCCTCATAATGCTTGGGGTCTACTTATGGTGTGGAGTATGGAACGGGGTCAGGTATTTGCAAGTGTCTTAGTGCCTGCACTTTCTTTGGTTCCTAAATGAAGAACTGTTATGTAATAAATGATTGAGAAATCTCTCAAGCCTCAGAAAATGCCATGGTCATCCAGCACAGGTTGATAGCACCATGCCTATGTTATAAACTATAGACTACTTGGTAGGTTCTGGTAACCTTTGACTTATGAATCAAATCTAGACATTCCTGCTTTTGAATGGCCTTTGTCCTAAGTGTGATTTTCAAACCATTTTTCAAATTGTTGGATGGAAAAATAAAAAGTTAAATACATACAAGAGAAAACCAAGTGGGTGGGGTATCAAAATGATTGAGGGAAGAAAAGTCAAACACAAAAGAAATGTGGAAAAGATGGGGCCAGAGTGATAGTACTGTGGGTAGGGCACTTGCTTTGCAGTGGCTGACCTGGGTTCGATCCCTGCCATCCCAGTTGGACCCCCAGAACCATCAGGAGTAATTCCTGACACAGAGCCAGGAGTAAGCCCTAAACATGTGGTGTGGTCTGAAAAAAGAAGAAGAAGAAAAGGTAGAAAGGAAAGAATTTAGGAACAAAAGAGTATCTGAACTGGAGTGATATTACAGCGCGTAGGGCACTTGCTTTGCATGTGTCCAATCTAATTTTGATTCCCCAGCTCCACATATGGTCCCTGAGCCCCACCAGGAGTGACCCTGAGCACAGTGCCAGCACAGAGCCAGGAGTAAGCCCTGAGCACTGCTGGGCGTGGCCAAGAACAAAACAAGACAAATATAGAAAAGAAAGAGCAAAATAGGAGCAATGATTAGTAGTATTTAGAGGTAAGTAGAAGAAATTCACCAATTAAAGGAGAGGGGCTGGCAGAATAGATGAAATAGCAAAAGATCCGATGAGAGGGGCACTTTGATTTTAGGGACCACTCACAGCAGTGCTTGGGGACTTGAGAGTCACTCCCGTCCTGTTGAGGGGACCTCAGAGTGCTAAAAATATAAGGACCTTCCATGCTTTGGGTCAAAACAGGGAAAGTTTCTGTTGAATGAAGGCCTCTGTCAGGGAGCTCCCGATTTTGGCAAATCCAGAAACGTTTCGTGTATGTACACATCTGTGTGTGTGGCTTTCTTTTCTTTCTTTGATTAAAGAGGGGATCATGGGGGCTGGAGTGATAGTACAGCGGGTAGGGTGTTTGCCTTGCAAGCGGCCAACCCGGGTTCAATTCCCAGCATCCCATATGGTCCTCTGAGCACAGCCAGGAGTAATTCCTGAGTGCATGAGCCGGAAGTAACCCCTGTGCATCGCCAGGTGTGACCCAAAAAGAAAAAAAAATAATAAAGAGAGGATCATACTGTCTGTGGGGTTTTGTGTCTTTTTTGCTACCTCTAAGTATCTTCAATGCTCTTGAATCATTTCCTCTTGAAGATTAGTCTTAATTCTGGAAGGATCTGAGGGCTCCTGCAGATAAGCCTTCGGTTTGTAAGGGCAGCAGGGATGTGGACAGAACACCAGAGATTGTTCTAAAGGCGCTCCCCCACCCCCCCTCAGCTGTGCGTTCATGTGGACAGTCAACCCTCTCAATGTGGCTCTCCTCCACCATCAGACTGCTCTGATGGCGTCAGAGGGGGGATGCACTGTTGGGAGTGTGGCTCTGCTGGGAGTTTTGTTCTATTAGGAAACAGGAAAATTTGTGACTTTGGAAACCATGTCTTTGAAGCAGGGCTAGATAAAGTGTCAGATAGGGTTGATTCTCTTGATCCCTTTACGAAGGCTCTGGGATACAGAGATCTAGGTGGGGGATGGGGTGGGGAGATTGCATTTTTTAGGGCAAGGGTAATTGTGAATGTCATTTGGCCACTATTAAGTGGGAGGCGTATTAGTTTCACAATAAGCACACACCTGTGTTGGGATTTGGTTTTCCTGTGCATTCCAGTCTCAGTAAAATTGGATTTTGTTGGTCTGTTGTGAAGCTAAGAGAGCAGTACTGTTGGTTGGCATTTGTGCAAAAGAGTTTACTTTTTAGGGGCTGGAGCAGTAACACAGCCGATAGGGTGTTTGCCTTGCATACAGCCAACCTGGGTTCAATTCCCAGCATCCCGTATGGTCCTCCGAGCACCACCAGGAGTAATTCCTTCCTGAGTGCAGAGCCAGGAGTAACCCCTGTGCATCGCCAGGTGTGACCCCCCCACCCAAAAAAAAAAAGTTTACTTTTTAATTTCTTCCTGGTCTGGAAAAGGAGTCCACATTTATTTAACTAGCATAAAGGCAACTGTGGGGGGTGTGAAGAGTGTGAGAGCTGTGAGGAATCTAGCTGCCATTTCTAACTTGAGATTATAGGCCGAAGCTTAGTCTCGAACGTGATGGTGCTGGTGTGTACCACCCATGGCTCACACTTTATTGTGGCTACATTAGCACCGGGTTAGGTTGTCACTCCTGCAGTGTGCAGGACAAAGACTCTTTCCAGGGCCTTTGCCATCTCAGGGGTGTGGGTGTGGGTGCATGGCCCCAACATGAGGCCTGCTCTCTCCCTGCAGGGTCGCGAGGCCTTGGAGTGGGTGATCGGCCGCCTCAACGTGGAGCTGGAGGGCCTCGCCGTCCCGGCCTGCACCAGAGTCTGATGTCCAGCACCAGGGATGTGGATCCTTAGGAGGCCAAGTCACGGGAGTTGTCACCTGTCCCCTAACCCCGCTTGTGGGGACTCCCCGCACAGTGCTCTGCTCTTGGTTTGTCACAAGGAGCATTCCTGATTAGTGCATGTTGCTGGGAAGGAGTCATTTTGCTCTTATCTTAGTCTATAGCTTACTCTTACTTTTTTTTTTCTCTTTTTGTGGGGGTTGGGGAGGTTGGGGGGTAGGGTAGGGAAGGGTTTTGTTTTAAAGTCAGTTTCATTCATTGATTTACTGATCCTTTGTCCAGAAGCCTCAACATCAGAGTAAAAAGGAAAATGACTTCTCACTCTCTGCAACTGCCCAACATTCAAACAAGTTTCTTAGGTATTTTGCCTCTCACATCGGCTGCCATCCAAGACCATGTTTGGGGCTGGAGCAATAGTACAGAGGGTAGGGCATTTGCTCTGCAGGCGACCCAACATCCCATATGGTCCCCAGCACTGCCAAGAGTAATTCCTGAGTGCAGAGCCAGGAGTAACTTCTGTGCATTGCCAGGTGTGACCCCAAAAAGCAAAAAAAAAAAAAAACCCAAAAAACAAAAAAACAAAAAACCCACGTTTATTCCCCTGGCATCTCAGAATGGTGGCTAGTTCAGAGGGCCAGGGCAGGGTTGACCTTGGTGGGGCTGAGGATGGCCTAAGAGCTGGGAACATGACAGATTTCAAGCCATCAGCCCAAGAGATTTGGTGGATCAGGCTAGGCACCTCAGGGCCCCGGAGCACTGCCCATTTCTTGTGGGGCCTCAACCTGGGGCTGCAGCTGCCCTGCTTGTTTTATGATCTTCCACTGACTTCAGACCTTCAATTGAATCACAGAGAGAGGGTTTTTAGGACTATGTCTGCATTTGTTTGTCTTTGCTTGGTCAGTGGTGTTTCATCTTGAAAGATGCCTTTAGCTTCAATGTCATGGAGGGGTCTGCCTACATTTTCCTCCATGTAACTTATGGATTCAGGCCTGATACTGAGATCTTTAAACCATTTTGATCTGACTTTTGTGCCTGGCATTAGACAGGTCTGAGTTCTTTTTCTTTTCTTTTTTTTTTTTTTTGCATGTAGCAGCTCAGTTTTCCCAGCACCACTTGTTGAAGAGGTTTTCCTAGCTCCACTTCACATTTCTTTCCCCTTTATCAACAAATGGGACTGCATTAAACTAAGAAGCTTCTGAACCTCAAAAGAAGCAGTGACCAAAATACAGAGATAGCCCATGGAATGGGAAAAAATTATTTATCAAATATCTATCAGATCAGGGATTAATATCCAAGATATATCAGGCACTGGTAGAACTTCACAAGAAAAAAAATTCAACCCTATCCAAAAAATGGGGAGAAGAAATGAACAGAAACTTCCTCAAAAAAGAAATTCAAATGGCAAAAGGCACATGAAAACAAATGCTCTACACTGCTAATGATCAGGGAGATGCAAATCAGAACAACAATGAGATACCATTTCACACCACAGAGGCATACATAAAAAAGAACAACATTGTGTGGATGTGGGGAGAAAGGGACTCTCATTCATTGTTGGTGGAATGTCAACTGGTCCATCCTTTTGGAAAACAATATGGGATGTTCCTCAAAAAACTGAAAATTGAGCTTCCGTATGACCTAGCAATACCACTTCTGTGAATATACTCCAGGGACACAAAAACACACAGCAGAAATGCCATCTGTATTTCTATGTTCATTGCAGCACTATTTACAGTAGCCAGAATGTAAATCTAAACAACCCAAATGTCCAAGAACAGACAACTGGCTAAAGAAACTATGGTACATCTACACAGTGGAATACTACACAGCTGTTAAGGAAAAATGAAGTTATGAAATTTGCTTATAAATGGATGGACATGAAGAATATGGTACTCAGTGAAATGAGTCAGAAGGAGAGGGACAAACATAGAATGATGTACTCATTAGTGGGATAGGAAAAAAAAAACACCCATAGTATTAGACTATTACCCAAGGACAGTAGGAATATTGGTTCACGGTGGAAGCCTGCCTCAAGAGCTGGGAGAGAAGGCAGTTGAGATAGAGAAGGAACCACTGTGACAATGATAACTGGCAATGATCACTCTGGATGAAAACTGTGTGCTGAAAGTAGGTAAAGGACCAAACATGATAACCTCTCAGTATCTGTATTTCAAACCGTAATGCCCCAAAGGAGTGGGGTTTGGGGGAGAGAGAGAGAGAGAGAGAGAGAGAGAGAGAGAGAGAGAGGTCTGTCATAGCGGCAGGCTAGAGGGGTAGGAGTTGGGGACATTGGTGGTAAGAATTGTACACTGGTAGAGGGATGGGTGATGGAACATTGTACGACTGAAACCCAATCATGTACAGCTTTGTAACTGTATACCTCACGGTGATTAAATTAAAAAGTTTTAAAAAAGACTTGTCTACAGCACGTTCCATGTAGCATCCATATTTCATATTTGTTTCTGGACATACTCTGTCTTTGTGTCTGTTCTAACCAACTGGGTTTGTTTCTCAGAGAAGTATCAGGAAAAATGTGATCATTTTGATGGCACGCTATTTGCCCTATGGTGTTTTATTTTTGCCAAAAAAAAAAAAAAAGAAGAGAAGAAGAAAAAAGCAGAGAAATAAATCCAGACACTGATATCCTCTCCTTAGTTTCTGTCAGTTTATTAACGTGGTTTTGGAATCTGTCAGAAATGAAATCTGAGGACACAGAAGACCGCGCCAGCTCTTCCCAGGAACCACACGTGTGTGGGATGCTGTTGACAGAAACCTCAGGTTTGCTCACCGGCTCTCGAGAGCTGAGCCGGGTGGCCCACATCGGGGTGGTCGTGACATATTCTGCTTTGCGGTGTCAGCAGTTCTGGGATCGGAGAGAGATTTTTCCTTGCACGGCAAAGTGGTGGTACTGGGTAGTCTGAACTCCCTCTCACCTGGCATCAGAATGAATGATGAAGACAGCATCTGATTTAGGACGGTAAAATTTTGGCTTCTAAACATCTGTTGGAGGGCTAGGGCATTTGCCTTGCACGTGGCCGACCTGAGTTCGATCCCCAGCATCCCATATGGTCCCCTGAGCACTGCCAGGAGTAATTCCTGAGTGCATGAGCCAGAAGTAACCCCTGTGCAAGGCCACGTGTTACCCAAAATGCAGAAAAAAAAAAAAGTCTACCCAGCCAGCCTGGTCTCATTTGGAGAAAGGGATGGGCGTTAACTGCTTAGCCTGTCATGAACTCCTTGGGTCAGATTCTTTTTCTTTTTTCTTTTTTTTTTTTTTTTTTAACTCTCTGAACAGTCTTGCCTAGCCAAACTCTATTTATGGCTGAGGCTTAGTATTCATGAAAGTTAAATACAGGTTTCAGAGGCTGGAGGGATGGGACAGGGTTTAAGACATTTGCCTTGCATGTGATTGATTCCCGGCACCATATAGTGTTCCCAGAGCCCCACCAGGAGTGATTCCTGAGCACAGAACCAGGAGTAAGCCCTGAGCACTCCTGGGTATTGTCCCATTCCCCTTCCTATCCCGACCCCTATAAAAGAAGCTAGATGTCTCTGTCCAGGCTGAGCCCTGCACACCTCAAGTCCGTTGGACGACAAAGGACACTCTCCTTAGCCCAACCACCTCTTTCGATACTGCAGTTGGAATGAAACCCGGTTTTGGCTTTTTTGGGACACTTGGTTTTTTAACCTTGCCTGCTCACTGGGCTCTGTGTTTGTTTCCAGTTGTTACAGGACTATTTGCTTAGGTCGGGGTTGGCAAACTGTAGTTTGGGAGCTATGAATAGTTTTGAATATTTTCCGTCTCCCCAAGTACACACAGAATGCATGACAGGGGTTGTGAGAGGCCTACAAAGCCCGAAATATTGACTGTCTGGCCCTTCACAGAAAAAGTCTAAATAAAACCATCCCTTCCTTTTTTTGAGGGGGGAGCCACACTCAGCATTGCTCAGGTTACCCCTGGCTTTGTGCTCAAGGATTACTCCCAGCAGTGCTCAAGGAACCATATGGGATGCCACAAATCAAACCTGGGTTGGCCACATGCAAGGCAAATATCCTCCCTGTGTTACCATCACTCTGGCCCCTAAAACCATCTCCTTTTGTAAGAGATTCCATTGCCTCCTGGCCAACATGCAACTAACCTTGATCTCTTCACTTAACTTTTACTTCTTTCTAATTCACACTGCTTCTATTATCAAGCATGGGATCTGAGAATGATTGGGGCTCATTCTCCTAACTCTGAAAGAGCATTGAATATGACTCTTTTAAAATCTCAGGGCTGGGAAGAAGGAGACGTTACTGGTGCCTGCTCGAGGCAATTGACGAACAACAGGATGATCGTGATTGTGATCGTGGGATCTGAGTGGTTCACGACCCTTTTCTCCCAGTAGTCTTTGGGAAACCCTTTCCTTGGAAAGGTTTCAGGTCAGGTGTATGCCCACTCATTGTCATGGGGGGTTGGGGAAGGGGCAGCTTCCTACACAGCCCTGTCCTCCCTGTGATCAGGGAACTGTAGAATGTTTCAGGATGCCTTGTGACTTCCATACCTGGGGCATAAACAGTGCCCAGATTTGCACTTGCTTGCTCTGTGTCCCTTACCCGAGGTGTCCAACTGCCGTGTCCGAGGTGCCCGGAAGCGATCTTCTGGTCCTAGTGGAGTCTTTCATTAACTACAGCTTGCAGAGGTTCTTGGAACAGCAGTTCTGAGACTCCCAGCCAAAACCACCCACCTAAAGCTGCTCCTTGTTGCCTGACCCATGGAAAGGCCCAGGGTAATGTTATTAAGCTACAGTTTAGGGACAATTTATCATGAAGAAATACGCAATCAGCACCGTCTCCTTTGTGCTACTCTGTATTATCTCTCTGGCACTGTATTAATATATAGATACCAGCTGATCCTACACAGCATAGGACATCTAATACAAAACTTTCCTTAGTAGGGCTGGAGAGAGAGTGCAGTGCATAAGGTGCTCACCTACAATGTGGCTGACCTCAGTTTGATCCACAGCATCACAAATGGGCCCCTGAGCCCTCCAGGGGTGATCTTTGAGCTCAGAGCCAAAATTAAGCTCCAAACACCATTGGGTATGGCCCCCAAACAATTACGGCAAAAAAAATCTTACCTTTTTAGCATCCTTATTCTATTG